TAGGTCTTGACACAGTGGTCCCACTGGAGACAACGGCTGCATACAACATGCTTGACGTGATCCAAGGAATCGTCGATGAGAGCGAGTTCTTTGAGATCCAGCCAAACTACGCGAAGAACATCATCATTGGCTTTGCCCGCATGAACGGCCATACGGTCGGCATTGTCGGCAACCAACCCAAAGTTGCTGCAGGTGAGAGGAAGATCCTCATGAAACTTTAATTCACCCTACTTTTAATATGGCATAGTTAGAAATCAAATTTGAAACATCAGCCATCATCATTTGGTTTCTCATCTGACTACTGCATGAACTGCTACATCCTATGCAACACTCACTTAACTTTGAATGATTTGAATAGTGAAGATCCTCAGTCTTTTGAAAATTTGCTACTCATGCTTGTTGTATTAGATGCCTTTTTGGGTTTCCTTAGTGAATCAAGCCATTTTACTTTTGATGTGAACTTGCTACTAGGGTAATATTTGCATTTCCAAATACTGATGCGTTCGTATCATTTTCCATTCAACATGTAAACCTGTATTAAAGTCTTGATGTTTCTCTGAAATTTCTTTTTTATATTGACTCAGGTGTATAAATCTCCCTCTTAACAGCTGATGCTACTTATGTTTTTGTGCATGCCAGCAATAATTTTGGTTTCATTTTACCCAGGCTGCCTCGACATCAACAGCTCTGTGAAGGGTGCACGATTTGTTCGTTTCTGTGATGCATTCAACATCCCCATCATCACCTTTGTGGACGTCCCTGGATTTCTGCCCGGGACGGCTCAGGAGTACGGTGGGATCATCCGACACGGCGCGAAGCTGCTCTTTGCGTATGCCGAGGCCACCGTTCCAAAGATCACCGTCATCACACGAAAGGTATGTGTATGTTCTGGTGTTCCACGCATTGAGTTCTTTTTATGTTTTGTATGAAGAATTATGGCTGGGGAAAGGCCAATAAAGAACATTGGCTTGTTTAACATTAACATGAAAATGAATAAAATATTTTTCACAATGAGGAAAATGTTGCAGTCTGGCTGGAACAGTAACTGCATAGCTGTTTGGTATTAGGACTGGACTGTTACACGTCTGCTTTGAACTTATTTACATCAGGAGCTTGATATGTGTGCATTCTAAAATGTTTATTTGGTATGTAGCATATCTACTGTCATGCATTAAAGAGTTAAGGAATGGGAGCAAGGTGCATGGGAGAACTAGCAACAGGTCAACACTCTTGATGATT